ATAGGTTGTGGAAGGCTCGCATTATTTATCGCAGCTCTTTTCGAGCGGAGGAACGACGGGCGATTCAAGATCGCGTTAGTCTAACGCGTTGGCTATTTATCAGAAAATTCGTAGCTGGCGCAACAGGTGCAGTTTCACAAGGCATCCTCTCTTCTTAATGTCCGAAAAAGTAAACTCGTCCGTAATTCGATCTCGCCGCACTTTCGATCGTATGATGGGCCGAATCATGTTACATCGTGCCAGCCAATCGGTAAGGAAGTAACCGGCAACGATGCGTTTAACGCCTAACCTAGGTTTCCTGGGCGGCCGATCGTTCACCCTCGTGCATCGTCGACAATGTTTCAGCCTTGTTCAAAAATTCGCCAAATAACCATGAGGCAGTGTCGCGGATACGAAACGAATTTTGGAAGAAGGGAGGCTCGATAGCGGCGCGCTAATTATAAAGCGTCGCTCGAATAACTTCGGAGGACACGATCGAGTTGGCCACCGTTCCCTGCGTTTCTCCACGACTCCGTGATCCACGGTTCCATTCATAAAGCAGGAAGAGTGCTTTAAGCTGGCGCACGCGCAATTCCTAACGGCCGTCGTCCGTCTTCGCTACCAGATATTTTCGGCGGTCCGGAATTATAAAGCGAGCACGGTTACTATATGGTTTCATCCGAGACGCCACGAGACTTGGTCGCGAGATACGTCGGGATAACGAAGTGAAAATGATCGATTCGACGAATACGGACGACTCGCCTGTATCCAAAACCACAAATTTCTTTCGGTATTATATTTAATATTTAATTTTGCTTACTCGACGTTTTGTTCTCGTTCTCGTTCTCGTTCTCGTTTCTTCTTCTCGTTTTATCGAGTTTACCATCGCTGACGAACGAAAAACTAAAATATCGCTAACATCGAAACTCGAGAGCCAATTGTTCTCTTTCTTTTTCTTTTAAAGACGACAACCTTGGATAGAGAAAAAAGGAGAATACACTTTTTCTACACGCATACCTGCCGGAAGGTTCGCGAAACGTGGCGCAAAAAATTTACGACGGTTTCTGACGTTCTGGAAGGGACATCACGGGACATGCGGTGCACACTTCTGCCAGATACCTGGCCCCCCACTCGCGACGAGAAATTTCACTACCTATCGTAGTGGTAAAAACCCTTGGTGACCCGTGGCGAACGACGCCCATTGCGCAAAACTTTCACCTCAAACAATGCCGGCGCATTTTTCGGCCTCGAGGCCTCACTCCTCCGCGGTCATAAATCCTTCACCCCTGTGGAAAAAGCGTGGTGTGCCCTTTGCTCGGAAGGTTTGGGTCGACGCGGAAACGAGGAGGAACCCGCATAACTTGTGCGACTAAACACGGGAAATCCAGCGACAGTTTATCGCCTGACAAACCTTCGAAACGCACGCGGAAAATAGGATGGGAATCGCCTTGCACGGATCGATGGAAAAGCTTACGGCTCGAAAATGCGTATTCGTTTTCGTGGAATCAACGAGATACGTATCGCCGATACATCGAGGACAAATATATGTGTGTGTGTGTGTGTGTGTGTGTGTGCGCGCGCGCGCGCGCGCGCGTGTGTATACGTGCTCGTACAATCGCATTTTCGACGCATAACGAATTAGCCATGCGTGAAAGATTCGAGTTCGGGTGCTTTCGCGTCACGCACCAGCTTTCTAATCTGCTTTCATTATTTCCGGTGACCATGATTTACTCCTGATATCGTATCGACGAGCAAATATGCGAAAAAACGAAATATGCGCGGGATAAACGAGATCGCGGAGGAAGGAACTTGATCGTTTTCCATTTCTTATAATCTCTCGCCGCGAACGATATTTCTCGAATCGTACACGAGGCATTTCCGTCCATTCGTATGCAAACGGCGGACAAGCTGGACGACAGATTCGATCGAATTACAATTTTCATGGCTCGCCCTCGGTTCATCCACGACATCGTCGCGTTGGTTATTCAACTCTTTCGGATGTTTCGATCCAGCCAGAGGGCACACGCTTTGAGGGCGCGGTCGTTGATCGAGTATCTACTATGTACTTATGCATACGCCTATACGTTCGAAAGTAAACGTAGCTCACGCATAGCTCAGAGTGGTTTACAATTTCTCGGTTGTAATTTATTCCCCTCCCGCCGTTGGGATATTCGTCCGGATCGAAGTTTCTTCGATCGCGAGTCGACGACGACCGAGCTGTCGTCGATATTCATATTCGGTATGAATCATTTAACGCGATTAGACGTTTCATCGCGTTAAGCGCGGTGAGCAGCGACATCGCGCGTCCCTCTCACCCTATTTTCGATGCTCGTAAAACCGGCGTCGGCTGTATCCGACTGATCCGTCTCCCGATTTATACCGAGAGACGAGCGGCGACTCGTCGGGACGCCGCCGCGGCTCCCGCAGCCGGATCTCTCTCCGCGCCATTCTCTAAGCGGTGCTAATAAATTAGCCGGAGAAAAAGACGGCGGTACGACAGATGCCCGATGGCTGCCATAAAGGAACTGCTAGAGACGCTCGCGGGTGGTGGTGGCACATCAAAGCGTATCCGTACCGACCCGATGCAGTACCGTTGTTTTATGTTTACCATGGGATTTGTTGCTCCTCTCCGTTTGCCTGACAAACACCCGAGTGAGTTATATATCGCCGGTTCATACTCTCGAATAAATTCGCGATACCCGTTGCGCGCTCGTTCTCTCTGCTCGAGAGAGGGGAGGAGAGAGAGGAGGGGGGAGAGAGAGAGAGAGAGAATGACCGGAAGGGGAGGGGAAGGACGGGCGAATTATCGTGCCGCGAAAACGCGAGAGAAAAGGTGAGGGGGGGGGATCGAGCGTAGCATTCTTACGAGAATTCCTTTGCCGATTCTCCTCTTTTTCCACTTGGGCGTTGGATCGGTCCAACGAGAGAACGCAACGGCGTGTCCTCGCAGCGACGACACGGCGTGCCACTCGACGAAACGAACTACCGCTGCAGAGGTTGGCATCGAACGTGCCGGCACGCTTAAGTGACTTTCGGTGTTTGGCCTTTTGCACGCGGCGAGAGAGTGTTTTGCCTTTGCGACAACGCTCTCGCTTTGCGGCTACGGACCCAACCACCACGCGGCAGCGTGCGTTTGACCTCTCCTCCTCCCTCCCTCCCTCCTCGCTCCCCTCACGCACACCGACTTTTTATTCCCCTTTCCTTTATTCCTCCCCCGGGATACCTGTAGTGCCACGCCACTTTCCGCGCAGAGATAACTAAATCGCCGCCTCGTCGTCGGCTTCGCAGCGTCCGTCGCGGTGATCGGGGTGAGTAGGTAAAGGGGCGAAAGTGGGTAAGCTCGAGGGCGCGGAGAGAAAGTGGGGAAGCAGACGGATACGGTTTACGCTTGGCTCAGGTGGGGGACGACGGAGAATATCGTTGTTCGTAACCGGCTATACACGCTCGAGTAAACCGAGGGCGGACAAGCGGGTCTCTCGAGTTTTTTTTTTTTTCTTCTTTTTTATTACGCGTTTCATCGATTGGTGAGATGAAAGGGAATCCTATCCTCTCCCGATCGTTACCCGGGAAGAGTGTTGTAAAAAGTACAAGTCCAAGAGTGAGAGACACGTCCGAGAGTTGCCGCTCGCGAGAGAGAAATTTGTCGAGACGTCTTCGAGGGAAGATTGGAAGAGCGGAGAGATCCCGCAGGAAAATAGCGATCGCGGAATACCACCGAGCCAAAACTCGTAAACGCATACGCATGCATATACCGTGTTCGAGGGACGAGACGACCAAGTTGCGCACACTGACGCACCCGTCCCTGTGTGCGGGGCGTACGGACACGAGAAAAGTATTGTGGTATCGCGATACAGTAGCCAAGCTATTCGTAGCCATGCACGTACAATCTAGGTACTGTTTCGCAACGAGAAGGCCCCGAAGGGGAAGTAAGCAGTATCTCTCGAGTTTCCCTCGTGGTCTCTCGGTCCTTGGTCCTTCGTCTTTTGGTCGTAGCGATCTTCCTCTCTTCCTCTCTCTCTCTCTCTGCACGATAAGTCTACCACTACCGCTTCATCCACCTCGACGCCGTGTATCTCCGCGGAAGGGAAGGGAAGATCGGAGTGGGGTTCTTCTCCGTCCGTCCATCCGTTCGTTCGTCCAGCCGTATCGTCTCGTCTAGTCTCGTCTCGTCTCGTCTCGTCTCGTCTCGTCTCGTCTCGACTCGACTCGTCTCGCGTGACGGCCTCGTCAGCCGTCAGCCAAGCTCCGTCCGGATCGATACGCTTGCCACCCTTACGACCCCAACTTCCTCCACCTTCTCCTGTGAAAAGCAATGCACCTACCATCCGCGCCCCTCACCATCGCCATCACCTACCCACCCTACTACTACTCTCTATCCCTCTGCTCGCGTCTCCTCCGCGAACCTTCCTTTTCCCCGCACCTCTTCCTCCTCTGCCACCTTCTCCTCCTCCTCCTTCTCCGGCTGCTGCCAGCAAGCAGAGTCTAGTTGAGTCGAGTTGAGCCACCGGCCGGGTCAGAAGACGTCTGCTGCCCGGGCGAGCGACAGCTACCACCCTCTCCATTCAAACACCCACCTCCAACCACCCTCATTTTACCACCTCCCCCTTCGCCTCCCCACCGTCCACCACCCACCCCTCGACCTACTCCACGACTCCATTCTACCGCGACGTGCCGCGAGATGGACAGCCTCGCCTCACCGTCGAATCCGCACTCCAAACTCGCTCAACCCCCTCTGTATCGTTCACGTAAACGTTCTTCCACGTTGTATTGGTGGAACGCCACCACCGTCCTCTCCCTCGTCGACCCAACTACCATCCTCTCGCTACCACCGTCGATGCCAACTCTTCCACCCCTTTCTTCGACTCCTCCACCTCCTCCTTCTCATCCTACTGGTGCTAGAACTGCTGCTACTGTTGCTACTACCGTTGCACCATATCCTGCGCGACACCGTATCTCGCTTTTCGCGACTATTCTCGAATGAACCGTCCGAGTACGACGGGGAGACCTCGATTCGCCTCTCTTTATCTCTCTCTTGTCTGTCATGCGTCTGTTTCTTCCACGACCACCGTTGCCAATAGATTTCGAAAGGAGAAAATCTATGATTGGAAATGTTTCGAGGAATATTATCGTGTTTTTTCTCTCTCTTTCTTTTTTTTTTTTTTTTTGTTTAAGATTCTTTATTTATCGAAGGTTTATTCGAGGAGGGACTAAGAGTCGCGACGATTACCCATCCGCTACCTCTCCCTCGCTTCGCGTCGGATACTCTGGATCTTCCGTAATGAATCATTAGTAGTCGAGAGTCAATCGAAGATTAATTAATCGTTTGGATTCGAGAACCAATTAAAGTTTCCTCGACGACGAATCCGTCTGCCCGAGTAGAGTACCGTAAAGATCCCGATTTGTTTTCGCTCCGACTTCCATCCAACTTCGACCCGAAACGTCGCGTTCCCAATCGCGTTCGACGGATCGAGACAAAATTTCTAAAATTTTTCTCCCTCCACGAGACACTCCTCTCCCGAGAACGACATCGATCGCTCACCTTTAACGCGACAAATCTTCGACGCTGTCGAGCTTCCAACTTTGATGATTCGCGATCAACCCGGCGGAAAAAGCGGAAAATACTAGTGGAAAAGTACTAGTATACAGGGAACAAGAGAAGGAACGACGATGCGTGAAAGAGAGGAGGAGAAATCGAATATCGAGACGAGTGGAATGGAAAAGAAAAAGAAAAGAGAGGGGACGATCCGCTAAACAATCGTAGCCATTTATTAATCGATTTGGACCCGATCGTCCAAGGGATACCCGATCGTCAACAATAATGGACTAAAGTTTCATTCAAGTTGGCCGAGAGTTTACCCACCCGTTTCACTCCCGTTCCGTTTCATTTTCCACCGATCTAAGATCGAGTCGTTGGAAAATGAACGCGGATCTCGTTCGTCGATCGAGGCCTGTTAAAAAAACGCCGCGTGCGACGAGAGAAAGAAAGGAGGCGAGACGGGACGAGGAGGTATAGGTCGAACGAGAAAACGAATCGTTTGCGCGCTATTCCTTCTAAGAGAGAGAGAGAGAGAGAGAGAGAGAGCGAGCCATGCCCAGTTTTTTTCTTCCACCAACGTGACATACGGTGAAAATTATTGCCGTCCTCCGTGCTGCCCCTCTGTCCGCTCTTCCCCACCCGTCTCACTCTCCCCCGCCTTCTTGCGGGTCGGACGAGTCGGAGGCGATCCCTGCCTCCCACGATACGGCACTGACGCCATCGTAGATGGGTGCCAGCTATCTAAGGGGTGATTTCTAATTTATGAGACTGGGGCGATGTGATGAACAGACGTCATAAAGCATGTCGCGCCCCGCGTCTGCAGCCTGCCACTCCTCCTCCTCCTCCTCCGCCTCTACCTATGCCTCTGCCTTCTGCCTCCACTCCTCTTACCTCCTCGCCCCCGTTCCCAACCCGGTTACGCCACCCCACCACCCGTTACCCGACCACCCGTCCAACCGTCCACCCCCCTGTTATCGCTGCCTCCAACCTCACCCAACCTCTTCCACCTTCCGACGAACCCTACTTCCAACGCCTCACACCACCGCCCCGTGATTTGTGGCCTCTCGAATTCTCTTCGCGGGCTCCTCTCCGAAACTTTCCTCCCTCTCTTTCCTCCCTTCTTCGCATCTCTTCTTCGCCTCTCGCTTCTATACCCACGGCTCTATTATCCTTCCCTCTTCATCCGTCCATCCATCCATCTATCTCTCTATTCGGAGGATCGCCACGGTCGCCTATTCGCCACGGGCTCGTTGAATTCTTCATAAGGGTGAGGTAAGACAACGCGAATGTTCTTGGAAACGATTCTATCATTCCCCCTCCCCCCTCTTTCTCTCGGGAGTAGACACGATGCCCCGATTATTAATTAGCCACGCTCGGGCGCATCGTGTTTCTCCGCTCGCGATCGCTAAACGTTTCGCGCTTCCTTTCCTTTCCCACCGTTTGGCGGAATCGAAGCAGACCCGATACTTGTTCCCATCTCTTCTCCACCGGATACAGATGTATCAATAAAATAATCGAATGAATAAAAATAAGGCTGGATAACGATGATGATGATGATGATGATGATGATTGTTTGACGGATTTTCGAGCAATACAAATGTCGGTGAAATATTAAATATTACAGGGTTAGGAGATAAAGAGATAGATAGTTTCTCCGATCTCTTGAAACTTGGCGGGCTTAATTATGGATCGTAATATTTGGACTCGCTCTGCCCGATTTTCGAGCGAGTTAATGCGAGCACGGGGAGGCAGGGCCGATCGAGCCCGATCGGTTTATATCGGATACCTACCCGCCTCGGATCGAGGAGGCCAGGTATAGGAGGGGAAGGGGGAGAGGAGATCGACGGTTGGAAACGTTAGCGACGCGGCTCGACGGAGAGAGCCTTTGTGAAAAATCGTGTTATAACCCTAATTTAATTTTATGGCCGGCATTACGGCGGATTGTGTTGTATATCGGGGGCCTGGGCATAATGGCCGTATATGGCCGCGTATAATAATGGACAGGCCGTGGGACGGGGGAGGGAAAAGAGGAAGGAAAGGGAGAAAGACGGAAGAAGGAAGGACGGAGGGGGGGGGGGCAAGGGGGAGGTAGAGAAGGTAGGCAGAGGAGGAAGGGCGGCTAATAATCAGTTGTAACGCGAACCGTCGTAAACCGCAAAACAACTAGAATCGAGGAGGAGGAGGAGGAGGAGGAGGAGGAAGGAAAAAATAGAGAGAGGAAGCGTCGAGGAATGGGCGAGGGTGTGTGTTTATATGTAAAAAGGGGTGGAAGTATCATTATCTCCGCGTCGAAATGCCCTTTCGTCGCTCGATTCCTCGATTCCCCGTCCAACGAGGCCGTTTGGCGCCACCCAATCCTCCAATGGATGGATCACTATGGAGAATTATTCGTAGAAGTTTTCTAACGCCGATCGATCCAGAGAATTCTTTCGAGTTGTTGGTCGGCAGTAAGTATTTGTATATAGGGAAACGGATCGATAAAACTATTAGCGCACTATTAAACGTCTTTCTGCGACTCTACATACATCGAGCGTGACCGATGATAGATTTAGACGATGCATAAAATTGAATAACGATCGTATATTAATCGGATCGGGAAATTGGATATCGCGTTTTCGCGCCCTTCTGCAACGTGAAAATAGAAACAAAACGTACAGTTTGGAAGAAAGAGTTGGCTTACGTTACGTTTCGGGGAATAGGATAAAATGATTAATTATTACTAAATATGAAAAACAAATATCCTAATCACCATGGGATCGATTGGAATGAAAAATTTGAAGCGCATCGAGTAAATATCAACTCTCTCCTTCAACGCGAGAATTATATTAATTCGAGAAACGGGATGGATAGAAATTTCGGGGAGGGGGAGTTTCGCGATTTTCCGATTCCTCGAAAGTATACCCGTATACTTTTCGTAACGATCGAAAAAACGGGCAGTGGTCCAAAAGGCGCGAGAGAAGGAACAGAAATCATGGTGCAAAATTACTATAATACATCGGGTGTATCGAGGCCGGGACAAGAGCCGCGTATTCCGTTATTATTATTGATCGGTGGGGAGCGATATTAAAGTGGCCGGAGGGGATTCTCTATATTTACGCTGGTTCTTCCGAAAACCGTGAAATTACTGATAATCACCGTGAGCGGGAAGTAACGCGGCTAGACTCACCCTTAACAATAACCGCGACGCTATAATCACCGATCCTTGCTCCTCCTTCCTCTTCCTCCATATTCCCTCCCTTCTCGTTCTTTTCTTCGCATCGAATGTAGCCGAGTTCGTTTTCCCCATCGCGCAATAATCATCCTCGAATTTCGGATACCCGAAACGACCGTCGTTCTCCTGATCGATTAATACCTTGGCTCGCATCGACCTCTGCTTCTTCTGAGAGAAAGAGTAAACGATGGAATTAAAAAAAAAAAAAAAAAGAAAGGGGGGGGGAGAGAAAAAAAAGGTTTGAAAATACGACAAAACGGCTTACCTACGTTGCAACCTACGAGGCACGTCCCCTCCCCTCCCCCTCCCCCTCCCCCCCTCCCTCCCATGCGTATATTCGAGAGGGAAGGAAGAGGAAGAAGAAGAAGAAGAAGGAGCCAGAGCGGGGTCAGCCATCGTGCGGGTAGGCAGCAGTTCGACTCGGGCTGCCGGCCGCCGTAAAAACGTCAATTAAAGTGTTTTATTTGATCCTTCGTTAGAACGTTGAAATGGAATTTTGATTTATGACCGGTGCTGTTCTCGTGATGTGCGTGTGCGAGGGCACAAGTGCGCCCGCGCGCGTACGCGTAAATAAAATAAATAGGAGGCTATAATTAGGTCGGTCAGTACGGTCTACCGCTCGGTCGATCACCATATACGACCGGTTCCACTCAACGTGGATACCTTACTACCTCGAGCGTACGAATTCCTCCTACCCGTCCAATGTTTCTCGCATGATCCGTGGAAAATAATACGACCGACTTCACGAACGTTTCTGAGAGGTTGTTGGTCGTAAACGCTTTCCACCGGTCGGTAACGAAATCGGTAATGGGTGAAATTAGTCGAGGTTCGAGGATCTCTTTATCGGGACGCTATTTAATAGCGTGGTTATCGTGGAACACAGAGAGAGAGAGAGAGAGAGAGAGAGAGAGAGAGAGAGAGAGAGAGAGAGAGAGAGAGAGAGAGAGAGAGAGAGAGAGAGAGAGAGAGAGAGAGAGAGAGAGAGAGAGAGAGAGAGAGAGAGAGAGAGAGACGAGAGA